TTTCTATGTCATATTGATTGTCAAATACTTTTTTAAACAATGCTTACTAGCCATACATTGGGCTCCAGATACAATTTTATTCAGCAAAGATACAGAAGTACAATACAAAGCCCTGGACCTCAATCAGTTCATAGCTTGTGGATTGGGAGTGGGGGATAGAAAAATAAAGGCATGGAATCTTTTTTCTGCCATCTTTCTCAAGACAGGGCATACATTACTATTTAAGTTGATTTGTCCTTCTCTTGGGTTCAGTCACAATGCTTATATCGAGCATCGTGTTTCCCCATAACCACAGCTGACTGGAGCTTGCCAAGCTTTGAAGAGCAGAGTCAAATAAATAAATCCCAATCTTTTCTGATGCTTTTCTAACACTTATGGGCAGTTTTCATCTCTCCGCCTCTGACTGTTCTGCATGTGCTCTATCCTACTGGAACTCTCTTATGTTCTTGAATCAATGATGAAGAGAATTCTATAGCCGGCTTGGTCCTCTGATGACTTTGGAATCCACCCCACCTGGCTATATGGAACATTAAGAGCAGAGAGATAAAGAGATAATGCAAATAAACTTAAAACTGTGTTTCCTCAATGATCTTGACTATGGTCTTTTCACGGAATGTACTTCCAATTTCTACATTTTTAGAACTGCTCCTAAAATCTAAATATGTCATAGTCATTGCACAGTTCATGGTGTTTGTCACTTTCTTTGGTTAAATACACTTTCTATTAATGCTACTTCACCCAAGAGGATCGGAGCTTTGTAAGCATTCTGATCACATTGTGGGGGGCATGCCCTTTCAATTGAATCAGTGATTCTCAGGTGACTGCATTTCAGAAGAGCATTGGTTGAAGGTACTAATGCTGAGTCTATCAAAGATCAATTAAATCAACATGGATCCCAAGCATCTGTAATTCCCCCAGTGAATTCTGACTTACAATAAGTGTTGCGAAGCACTGCGTTAGAGAATGCCACCTCACTTTTCAAAAAAGTGAGAATCAATATTACATTTGAACCTAGGAAAGGGAGGTGACTGGTTCTGAGCATTTGATTATACTACTTGATCTCAGCTTTTTACAAGGGAAGAATGGATGGCTTGGCCTCATTTATTTCTTCATTTAGCTTCGAAGATGTGAAAATGATATGACCTGCTCTTGTACTTTGAACTATACCTTGAGCTGTGCATATGCTTCACTCCTCAAGCCCAGTATGGTGTGACCATCCTGTAGATCTTTGCAGTATCTCTGGCACAGGACCTAGGRCAAAGGGTGATGTCAGTAAGTCATTTTACAGGTTAAGCACATGGAAGTCTAGAGCACAGAGCAACAGGTGGACTGGCAGGAAGTCATTTATTTGGTGATGTTAGAGGAAGGTTTATTCTCGTTCTCATTTATTGGCAATGTATTTGATTGGAAAAACAAGTTATAGGAAAGAACTGTCATGTATGGCAAAAGGGGAAAGGAAATATATACGTTAATACACACAAATAATAAATGTGCAACAATTTTAAAGAGGACATGATTTCTGCCTCCATTCCCTTTCCACCATTTCTGCATCTATGCTCCTTCATGCACTTTGAAAGCATTTTTCTTTTCAATATTTGCATACATCAGTCATAGTTGGAGGTTTTCATGCCAGTGTTTCCTTCTAGGTTGTGAATTCTTTGAGAATGGGGACCGTGTCTTGGTCATGTTTTGGTATTTCTCGTTGCCGTAGTCCCTGGTACAGCAACCATGCTACATAGTTATTTTCTGAGTGACTGAATATCCTGAAAATTAGTATTGTGTAGGACTGATATGTGTGTCCTGTGCATTCCCATCAGTTGTTCAGTTTGTCTTTTTATTTTCACCATCCTGGGTCTCAGTAAATAGGTACCTTAAAATTGCCTACCTCCATTTTCAGGCCAAATTTCTCAGCAGCTACACACTTTCTGTGTTTCCAAATTTGATTCTCAGACAATACCAAAGTGGCTTAACAGGGAAATAAGATGAGAATGATTCCAACAACATTCAGCTAGAGTGTCCCCTTCTATCAACAGACAGGATGGGATTTAATTTTTAGGAACTCTTAGTTATATATTAAAATGATATTATGTTTATAACATTATATTATTATATACTACAATATACACAAACATAGGAGTGTGTTGTGTATGTGTGTGTGTGTATGTGTAGATAAAACGATTCTTTTCTCACCTCATGACTAAAAGATGAGCTACATGTAGGAAAGGAACATTGGGTAAGAAGTCAAGGGACATGGACTCTAAACACAACGTTGATTTAACTTAGTGATTTGGGACAGTCTCTACTATTTACTAAGTTTTAAGATGATGGTGTTCCACTAGCTGATCTCTCAGTGAACTATTTTTTTAATATTCATTTTTTAGTTGTAGTTGGACACAATACCTTTATTTTATTTATTTATTTATCTATCTATCTATCTATCTATCTATCTATCTATTTATTTATTTATTTATTTTTATGAAGTGCTAAGGATCAAACCCAGGGGCTCTCACACACTAGCTGAGCACTCTACCGCTGAGCCACAACCCCAGCCTCATTAGGTGAACTATTACTGCTCTATAATTCTATACTCAATTACCATCTATTACAGTGATTTTTTTAATAAGGCACGTGCTTCTTTTATCTGCTCTGACAGCAATGCAAAAAAAAAACAGAAAGGAGGACTCTAAATATTCTATAAAAAGAACTTGAGCAGCAGACTTTAGTTCTGGTTTTGATGACATCAACCAGCCATATGCTATGTGCAAACCCTTCTGATCTCTGGGCCACACTTTCTCCTTTGGGAAAGTGTAGAAAATGGCCCACTTGTCATCACAGTCCTTTGTGAGCTTGGTCCAGGATCCAGAAATCTGGGTACACAGGCAAATATGCAAAGGTAATCTGATCACAGAAAATGTTTGATTCGACCTTGTATTTTGTGCCTTGATTTCTGCTTTTATCATCATTTTATATGTCTGGAGGATTTTTTTTCCCACTGATAATAGTGCTTCAAAATACAACAAGGCACAAAGAAGACTTAATGAAATGTTGGCTCCAAAAGAGATCTTTCAGTGATGAGCAACATGAGAAAAAGTTAATGGCCAATCAGAACAATTTTCTGATAAAAAGAAGTTAGAGCACTTGGGGTAGAAGGGAGTGAACTACCTGTGCAGACTACTACTGAACCCTGACCAGGCTTGGAGCTGGGGGTTTCATCCACACAACCTCCTTTGGTCCATTTCACATAGTAATCCAGAGACAACAGAGAAGTTCTGTGCCAGAATTTAAACCAGCAACTAAGGAACTGATGAGGCTGGTGAGTGGAAGTCCCCCAACTCATCTCCAAATTTTTCCTCAGTCCAATGTTTCCAAACTCTCACATAAAACATGGTACTCAGGAGTCCTCTCAAAACCCAAATTTGAAAAAAAAAAAAAAAACCCAAATTTGATCCCAAGGTCATTAAGTATACCATTTGCAGACCTTTCTGGATCCCTATCTGTCCTATATTGTCTTACAYTGTAGACATGTCCCAGATGGGTTCCGTTGTCGGTTGCCCTGAAAAGCCCCCTCTTGCATCTCAAATACAAAAGCCCAAAGAGATTAAAAATATCCTTTTTTTATGAGAACTGGAGACATTCTGTCTCATTCATTCAAACCACCCAGTATAGGGAACTGTATGTCAATGTGCATTTGTCACCTCTCCGTGTCTTCCCCTCATCTAGTGTCCAGTTCTCCTGAATAAACAAGAAAATGCACATGAGCATTTGAATGCAGACAAATAGCTTAACAAAAAAAATAAATCCCTGAAAGTGAAATGTAATTACTAGGTTAGAAAAAAATGCACCCAGTTCGGAGAGCCTATCACACGTCGCGTCTCGGCGCGCAGCTACCCCCCAACACTGCTCCTGTTGTGTCAGATAGTGGCAGTGTTGAGCCCGGGAACCGGCGCCCAGCCCGCGGCGGTCCCCGCGGCCGCTCAGTCTCCGCGGCCGACTCCAGCTCGTAGGAGCCACCCGGCCGCGAGGGCGCTGGGGAGCGGGAGGGGCGCGGGGCGGCGAAGGGTCCCCGATCGGCTTCCACCAACTGTTTTCCTTCTCCCCTGGCCAGAGCCCCACTCCCTCCAATTCACCGAAATTCACCGAGAGAGGGGAGGTGGAGGGATAGGTAGCTCGCTGCTTGCTACCGGCTGCGCCTCCCTCCGCTGCCGCCCGGGGAGCAGCTCCGGCCGGCTGGGCGAGCAGTGTGGGCACCCGYGCCCCCTCCGAGCAGGTCGCGGGGTGGCGGTCCCCGCTCGGCTCGGCCGCGCTGCGGCTCCAATCCTCCCCCCTCCCCCGCCCGCACCCTCCCCCTTCCTTTCACTAGGACTCCGGGACTCGGGAGAGGGCGCGGGAGGCAGGCACACGGGCCCGACCCCACTCCAGCGCTCGCCAGGGACGCGGGCGGGCGGGCGGCGAGGGGACGCGGCGGGGGCGCGGGGCGGGCGCGGCCATGGAGCGGCGGCGGCGGCGGTGGCGGCAGCACTAGCGACCGCGGGCGGACGAGCGGCGGGCAGGGCCGCCCGGCGCCGCGGACCGAACTGCACAGCTCAGCAAAAGCGCCCTCGCCCTCCGCGCGCCGCCTCCTGCGAGCCCAAGCCCGGCAACATTTTTTAAAGCTCCAATCCATCCTTTGGAGAGAAGAAAAAAAAATAGCATTGATCGGAGAGACGGGGATATATATATATATATTTATATATATATACACATATATATGTAATTTTTTTTTGGCTCCTGCTAAAATTAGCCGGGCTCGCCGCGCGCCTGTGTGCGAGTGTGTGCGAGTGTGTGCGTGCGGGCGTGTGTGTGAATGTGATTACTCCAGGACTCCTCGGGCTCCGGAGACGCCATTTTCCCCCTTGATATCTCTCTCCATAAATCGGTGGCGCGGCGGAGGCGGCCGCGTCGGGCGGGAAGCGCGGGGCCGGCCGGGGCGCCCGCCGCTCGCCGCCGCCTCCGCGCGCCCGGGGGCCCCGGCGCCCCCTGAGCGAGGGCGGCCCGCCCCGCGGCTCGCCGTTTGACAGATGCTCATCGCCATGGAGTTGCTGCAGCAGCACCTTTGGGGGCTCGGACGAGCGAGCGGAGCCGGGATCTGAGCGAGCGCCCGGGCCAGCGGAGCAGGAGCCGCCGGGACATGGGTGAGCACGCGCAGCGACCTTGGAGCGGGAGCCCCAGTGCCCAGCATCCTGCCGCGCCGCGGGCCCCGCACGCTCGGGGCCGGGGGGCGGTGTGTGTGCCCGGCAAGCAAAAGTTCACGTCGCCTCGCCGGGGCTTTGACTTTGCACCGGGCAGGAAGGGGGAGACGGGGCCGAGGGACGGGATGCCAGTCCCCGCGAGGCTGCTCGGGGATGGGCGCGATTCCGACCGGCCGGCGGGTGGGCAGCGATGCTGGCTCTATTGGAGTGGCCCGTTGGTGGCGGCGGTGGTGGAAGCGTCGGGCTGGAAGGCTGGGAGCTCATTGAGTTTCGCCTAATCTGATCCCCCCTCTACCCCCCGCCTTTTGCACCCTCCCTCGGTCCTGCCGCCGGCTGCCGGGGCTGGCGGGTTTGGCGTTGGTGGAGTGGACTCGGGAGGGGGAGGGGGTAGGGAAAGGGGTGGGAAGGCGGCAGGATATTTTTTTTTCTCCCTTTGTAACTTGCAGGTTAAGTGGAGCTAGAGAGCTACATTGTAACCTAGTTGGATTTTTGGGGGGGAAATGTATCAGAATCTAACGTGTCCTTAATAGAGAGAAGAACAGGCAAGAAGTGGTCCAGCCGGCGAAGGTTGGTGTGTGCTTGTGTTCTGGCTGTGTGTTAGTTTTTCTCTTAAAAATCTTAATCAATGGTTTTGAGTCTTTTTCTTTTGCTCTCCGGTTTGAGGATTCTGAAAAGACAGGAATTCCCTTAAAAGCAGACGAATGCCCTTTTGAAAGCACGCATTGTGTGCGTTTCTAGAGGAGCCTTGAGCTTGGGAATTAACCACAGGCTTCCCCGTTCGGTGGTTTCCAGTGGGAAATCACTCCGGAAAGGGAGCCCTTCAGTATCGATTTATTGTTTTTGTCTCTCGCACCATTATCTCTTTGACCAAAATACTGTCTGAGAAGTTCCACAGAGACAAAGTCAGGTAAACTGGGCAGATCTTTAGCAAGATGGTGATAACGGTGATGCTGTTTTTGGTGTCTGTTTGTGATGGAAGCATTGTTGGGTAATTGCAATTTCTGATCGGTAGAGCATGCTGGTTCTAAAAAAATAAGTTACTGCCGAAATGCTGTCTTCCAGCCCCCCTCCCCTACACACTATCATCACCCCTCCTCTCCTGACCCACACTGCTTACTACAATTCCGAAATCGGATCCAACTAGAAATATTTTCATTGGAGATGGGAAAGTTGTGCAGTTAGAAGTAGGAGATGGGGCTAGAGGTAGTGAGTGTGTGGAGGGGGAGTGCTTATTGCCCCCCTCCCATGATGCATTTATTCTTTATGTGTGTGTGGAATACTCAGGGCGTGTATGTCTAAAAGACTGTTGATGGAAGGATTTCTGATTTGTTTCTGTTTTAAATAAACTGTCCTGGTAATCTCATGGTTGAGGTCTAATACTAAAAGGGCAATTTGTGTGTCTTTATGCCTGCAGAAACTCTCCTTCGAAAGGCAGTTTATTCTGGAACTATAGAGCAGCTACTTTTCTATCCCCTACTCCTACCCCATAACTATCCACATCTTCTGAAGTTTGCTTGGAGTCCATGGTCTCTAAGGAAATATTTCTTGTTTTTCTGACATTCCTTTCCCTTCTTTTCTTTTTCATTTCTTCACCCTTGTCCTGTTTTTCCTTGTTTCCTGTGGATTTGCACTGAAGTAGCTGTCACCCAAACTCTGGCAGTTCAGGGACCATTACCCTCCAGTAGTTTACCCAGGTACATCTCCCACTCCATCCAAATAGCTCCAGTTGCAGAGTTTGTTTGGTGTGCATTGGGGGAAGGGAAACAGAGAAGAGGGACTTGGAGAGGAAGAATGTTGTTCTGTGCAGGCCACATCTGCAACCCTGGGACCAGACCTGGGCAGTCAGGAACAGTTTCTTTTACACACCCTAGTTAGAAGTGGTCTGGCTGGGATAGGAAGGCGGGGCCAACTGGCTGGGGGCGTGTGAGGGAGGAGAAAGTTTGTAGCTCTTTAAGATGTAGCCAGTTTACAATCCCAGGTCCCTCCCTCTCCTTCCTCTTGATTTCTGTGACTTACACCTTCCTTAAACTCCCAGAGTGAGAGAGACATGATCCCTTTAGCTCTGACACAGGAAGATTCCCAGGTTTTAGAGCTAAAGCTGTAGGGGCTGTGTTTTTACTGTGAGCTTAATCTCCATGCCTGCTACCAGAAAAGGATGTCAGGGCCATGTTTGAGGCAAACCAAAAAAGTGGGAGAAGTAAGCATGGTTGAACACAGAGCATTTACAAATTGCAGGGAATGTAGCCTCAGAAGATCCAGAGACCAGGTACCCAGTGTGGTACTAGGCATAGGATCCTCCTCCCCCATTAAGTCTTGGTCTTGGGAAGTTGAATCCTGTTAGAGCTGGGCTGTGGAAGCTATAGCCACTATAGTAACCTGAGCTGAGCTGGGGGAGGAGATGGTGAGCAAATGTAGTCCCTAGCCAGAGGAGGGAAACAGACTAGTCTCTCTCTTAGCAGGGAAAATAGATGCTTCTCTGAAATAAACAAACTGGAGGTGGGGGAAGGGATAACTTGTAGTGAACATAAGGAGTGGCTGAAAGGCAGGGTTGTCAGTTAGGAAGGGGGCCACTTCTAGCCTGGGAGAAACTATCAACTGCCTTATATGTTCATGAATGGGCTAGGCCAGTGAAGGGTTGTAATCTGATTGTTTGCATGTTAACATCAGAATGTTACATAGGAAGGCTGTGCTGGGACTTCACTGGAGGGAAACCTGGGTGTATCCCTGAGGGAATCCAACAGTCCCTGATACCATGAGTGCTTCTGGTCATGTACTTGTATTACTCATAAGGGGTTACTTTTTAAATCACCTGGCCTAAATGAAGCTTGGGGAGGGCAAAAAGCAGAGCTTGGGATCTTTGTAGAATTTAGTTGAAGATGATCAGTTGGGAGAGGCAGGAGGCAGCATTTTGCTGAAGAAGAAATAAATAGGTAGGCACTTTCCCCTGGATTCCCAATTCCTTTTCTGCTGTAACCTTAACTTTGAATTCCACTAGGGGCTGAATCGATACTTCTCTGGCACAGAAATGTGCATCTAGGAGAGGAGAGTTCTTGCAACCTGGTCATTATTTTTAGTTGTGCTTCAATCTTGACTCTGATACTTCTATATAATATGCAAAAGGAAGAAGATGAGAAATAGCCAGACTGATGGGACAGCCTTTCTGGGTTCCTGTGGAGACACTGAAACTTGGCTGGGCCTTGCCCTCCCAGAATGCCAGGCTTTCCCTTGGAGACTTCAAGTTTTAATTGAAACCAGAAAGCTATTGAAGGCAGACCCAGCCAATGAAATCCTGTTTTCTCTGATGCTCAGGGATGGGAAATAAATAATGTTTTTGCTGATGGCATTTCAAGTTGTTTCAGTTTTACTCCTTCCAGAAGAATGGGGTAAATTATTATGAAAACATTAGCTTTGTAAAGAGTTGCACTGCCTTAAAAATGGAATGTTGTGACTGGGACTGTTCAGGGAGCCAGGGTATTGGAGAGTCATAGTAGGTTGGAGGTGGGGTGGAAGAAGAAAGCCATATAAATTTTTCCTGAACGTCATTTTGTCTGTTCCTCAGGTTCCTCTGAAGAAGGGACAAAACAATTCAATCTCATTTCTGTTCTATGGTCTATTATGAAACTGGGTCAGCTACAACAAAATATCTGAGACAATCAACTTATAAAGGGAAAAGTTGAGTTTGGCTCACAGTTTTGGAAGTTCCAGTCTATGATTGGTTTGCCTTCTTGCTCTGGGCCTGTGGTGAGGCAGTGCATTGTGGTGGGAGCATGTGGTGGAACAAAACTGCTCACCCAAGGGCCACAAAGCAAGAGAGAGAAAAAGAAGAAGGGACTGGGATCCCCAAATCCCCTCCAAGGGCATGCCTCCAATGACCCAAAGACCTCCCATGAGGCCCACCTATTAAAAGTTCTACAACCTCCCAATAGCAGCACCCTGAGAACCAATATTCAATGCATGGGCCTCTGAGGGACAGTCAACATGAAGTGATAGTGTTGGATGAGTTTCTGTAAATGTGTTGGGTCAGAATGGGGTCAGGAGTGCTACCACCATACATATAGCCATGGGTTTCAGTTTCTTGTAGAGCTATTTCAAAAGTAACTCTTCAGCCCAAACACTTCTAAGTGCAGAACATAAAACCCCAAGGTGCCCACAGAGTACACTTTCTGGATGCTGGGGGATGATGCCAACAGACATTATTGCTTGACTCTGAGTTTTCATTTCATTTTCACTTAGCTTTCTACAGATTTTGATACCTGTTTAGAGACGGCAGATTGGGTCTAAATAAAGTTTTGGGGGATGATGACCTTAGATTCATTTTGTCTAAATTATTGGGATTTAACAGTTCACATCTAGAAGTTTCAATGGATCATATTAGAACAGCTTTCCTTTTAGAGGAGTTAGAGTTTTACCCCATTAGAGGGTACTCTGTAAGGTCAAAGAAACATTTTTTTTTTTTCTCTTAATGGTCTTTGTCTTAGAAAGTAGCAGCAGACTTCCTATTCTGTTCAGAGCAAATGATGCCAGCATCAAGTGTAGAATGTGAGCTTCCCTGATATCCACAGGATCCCCTGGGAGGAAGCAGCCATCCTTTCCCGAGAAGCCAGTGATGGATTATGATGTTTAGTCCCATGTAAAACAATCATAGGCAAAGTCAACTGAGCTGACCCTCAGGTGGACAGAGGCTCTGCCTTTTCAAGAATGGGGGATGGGGAAAGGATGGATGGTGAGCCAGAACTTGGTTAGGCTGAAAAAATTTTTCTGTGATCCATCTTATCTTTTGCCTTTCATATTCATAGAACTTTGTTCTTTTAAAAAATATTTTCATATCACATCTGCCCTCTTGATCTGGAGAAGGGAAGCCCAAGCATTGTATTCCCATCAGAAGACAAGGCATGGGATACATTGGTTGCCTGAAATGACACAAGTTGGTGGCTGACCTGGGG